ATACCTCAACATAATAAAAGCCATATATGACAAACCCACAGCCAACATCATAATCAATGGGCAAAAACTAAAACCATTTCCCCTAAAAACAGGGATGCCCCCTCTCACCACTCCTGTTCAACATAGTACTGGAAGTACTAGCCATTGCAATCAGACAAGAAGAAGAAATAAAAGGCATCCAAATTGGAAAAGAAGAAGTAAAACTGTCCTTATTAGCAGATGACATGATACTGTACATTGAAAACCCTAAAGATTACATCAAGCCGAAACCGGTTTGGCTCAGTGGATAGAGCGTCGGCCTGCGGACTGAAAGGTCCCAGGTTCGATTCCGGTTAAGGGCATGTACCTGGGTTTTGGGCACATCCCCGGTAGGAGATGTGCAGGAGGCAGCTGATCAATGTTTCTCTCTCATTGATGTTTCTAACTCTCTATCTCTCTCCCTTCCTCTCTGTAAAAAATCAATAAAATATATATTTTTTTAAAAAGACTCCATCAAAAAATTATTAGACTTAATAAATGAATTCAGCAATGTAGCAGGATACAAAATTAATGCCAAGAAATCTATGGCATTTCTTTACACCAATAGTGACCTTACAGAAAGTGAGACTAAAAAAGCAATCCCATTTACCATCGCACCAAAAAAATTAAGATACCTAGGAATAAATTTAACTAAGGAGGTAAAAGACTTATATGCGAAAAACTACAGGACACTGAAAAAAAAGATAGAGGAAGACATAAACAGATGGAAGAACATACTGTGTTCATGGATTGGTAGAATCAAGATCATCAAAATGTCCATATTACCCAAAGCAATCTATAGATTTAATGCAATCCCCATTAAAGTACCAACGGCATATTTCACAGATCTAGAACAAACGCTCCAAAAATTCATCTGGAATAAAAAAAGACCTCGAATAGCTGCAGCAATCCTGAGAAAGAAGAACAAAGTAGGTGGAATCTCAATACCAGATATCAAGCTGTATTACAAAGCCACTATTCTTAAAACAGCATGGTACTGGCACAAGAACAGACATATAGATCAATGGAATAGAATAGAGAACCCAGAAATCGACCCAAATCACTATGCCCAATTAATATTCGACAAAGGAGGCAAGAACATACAATGGAGTCAAGACAGTCTCTTCAATAAATGGTGCTGGGAAAATTGGACAGATACATGCAAAAAGATGAAACTAGACCACCAACTCACACCATACACAAAAATAAACTCAAAATGGATAAAAGACTTAAATGTAAGACGGGAAACCATAAAAATACTAGAGGAATACACAGGCAGTGAAATCACAAACATATGCCGAAGGAATTTCTTCTCTGATACAGCTCCTAAGGCAATGGAAACTAAAGAGAAAATAAACAAATGGGACTACATCAAAATAAAAAGCTTTTGTACAGCAAAGGAAACCATCAACAAAACAACAAGAAACCTCACTGCATGGGAGAACATATTTGCCAACGATATCACCAATAAGGGTTTAAGCTCCAACATTTACAGGGAACTCATGCAACTTAACAATAGGAAGATAAACAATCCAATCAAAAAATGGGCAACGGACCTAGATAGACACTTTTTTAAAGAGGACGTACAGAAGGCCGAAAGACATACAAAAACATGCTCAAAGTCACTAATTATACGAGAGATGCAAATCAAAACAACAATGCGGTATCATCTCACACCTGCCAGAATGGCTATCATCAACAAATCAACAAACAACAAGTGTTGGAGAGGATATGGAGAAAAAGGAATCCTTCTGCACTGCTGGTGGAAATGCAGACTCGTGCAGCCACTGTGGAAAACAGTATGGAGTTTCCTCAAAAAACTAAAAATGGAACTCCCATTTGACCCCGTGATCCCACTTCTAGGAATATATCCCAAGAAACCAGAAACACCAATCAGAAAGGATATATGCACCCCTATGTTCATAGCAGCACCATTCACCATAGCTAAGATTTGGAAACAGCTTAAGTGCCCATCAGCAGATGAGTGGATTAGAAAACTGTGGTACATCTACACAATGGAATACTACACTGCGGTAAAAAAGAAGGAACTCTTGCCTTTTGCAACAGCTTGGATGGAACTGGAGAGCATTATGCTAAATGAAATAAGCCAGTCAGAGAAAGATAAATACCACATGATCTCACTCATTTGTGGAACATAGAGAACAACATAGACTGATGAACAGGGACAGATCCAAAGACAGAGAAACAGCAATCAGACTATTAGTCTCCAGAGGGAAAGTAGGGGAGGGAGGGGGTAAGGGGAAGAGATCAACCAAAGGACTTGTATGCATGCATATAAGCCAAACCAATGGACACGGACAACAGGGGGATGAGAGCATGAGTGGGGGGGAGGGGGGGGGCTAATGGGGGGGAATGAGGACACATTTGTAATTTCTTAACTAATAAAGAATTTAAAGATTAAAAAAATAAAATAAATTAAAACTCAAAGAAAAAACAAAAAAAACTGTGGTACATCTACACAATGGAATACTATGCTGCAGTAAAAAAGAAGGAACTCTTGCCATTTGCAACAGCATGGATAGAACTGGAGAGCATTATGCTAAGTCAAATTAGCCAGTCAGAGAAAGATAAATACCATATGATCTCACTCATTTGTGGAATATAGAGAACTATATAGACTGATGAACAGGGACAGATCTAAAGACAGAGAAACAGTGTAGGGGAGGGTGGGGGTAAGGGGAAGAGATCAACCAAGGGACTTGTATGCATGCATATAAGCCAAACCAATGGACATGGACAACAGGGGGATGAGAACATGAGTGGTGGTGGGGGGGGAGGTTGGAGGTTAATGGGGGGATGAGGACACATTTCTAATACCTTAACCAATAAAGAAATTTAAAAAAAAAGTTTCTACCCAAATACTTGTCGGAAGAGTGCCAAACTTCAGTTATCACTGACCAGTGCCTTTTACTTTGCTTTCTCAATGCAAAAACTAAAATCTACGCAAAGTTCCCTAAATCAAAATGGTTCTAAATTCAAAATCAAGAACCAAGGAACCATTAAAAAAATCTTAACCTTTGGTTATTGGAGAGAGACTAAAACTGTAGAAGCAATAGAGGGCCTTCTTTTGACTCAATACCCTAATCAGGAGTCCAAAGATCCCTATAACACTGTGGTAGGCTAAATAATAGTCATCCCCCTCCCCCTCTCCCCTCCCCTCCCCAAAGCACCCATGCCCTAACCCATGGAATCTGTGAATGAATGTGGTACCTAAGTAGTAAAAGGGACTTCTGCAGACATGATTAGGTTACGGATCTGGAGATAGGAAGAGAGCCTGGATTATTCAGGAGGGCCCAATGGAATCACAAGAGACCGTACAAGAGAAAAGTAGGAGGATCAGAGTAGGAATGGGAAATGTGACACTGGAAGCAAGAGGTGGAGTGAGGTGTGGAAGGGGCGAAAGCCAAGGAACGCAGGGCCTCTAAGAGATGGGAAAGCAAGCAAACAGCTTCCAGAGCCCCAGCACCTTACTTTAGCCTTGAAGACATTTCAGATTTCTGACCTCCAAAACAGTGAGATAGTACATTGGTGTTGTTCAAGCCATGAAGTTGGTGGTAATTTGTTATAGCAACAATGGGAATTTACAATGAATAATTAAAAAAAAAAGGCTTGAAACTGCCAGGCCTTCCCATGCTACCTACCTCTGTGGGAACTATCAGCATCTGGAGAGTTTTGGAGAATATAAGACAGACTCAAGGCAAAGGAAAACATGACCTTGTGTAAGATAAAGAGCATCAATTCCTACCGACGATACACTGAGCGAGTGCAGGTCTCAGAGAACTTGGAGCTGGTGAAAGCTCTAAACAAGACTGCACCGTCAGCCTGACAGACACATACAGAGCGAAGACGCTCCAGCGGTACACAAAAGAAACCGTTCGAAGAATCGCCAACTGCAAGGGTACACGTGGGCACGCTGACCTGTGATAGAGGACGTAAAAAGCTGAGCTCGCCCTAACTGGTTTGGCTCAGTGGATAGAGCGTCGGCCTGCGGACTGAAGGGTCCCAGGTTCGATTCCGGTCAAGGGCATGTACCTTGGTTGTGGGCACATCCCCAGTGGGGGGTGTGCAGGAGGCAGCTGATCGATGTTTCTCTCTCATCGATGTTTCTAACTCTCTATTCCCTCTCCTTTCTTCTCTGTAAAAAAAATAAATAAAATATATTAAAAAAAAAAAAAAAAGCTGAGCTCTCCCTCCTGCCCTGCCGATGAGGTAACTCTGCAGAACTGCTCTCCGCTGGGATTTCAAGGCTACTGTTTTCTAGTTACACTGCAGTGTTCCATATGTGACTCCCTCCCTTCGCTCTGGGAGACTGGGGGGGCGGGGGAGCACACCATGCAATCCTAAAAACCGTTAGAAAACAAAAACGGTTTCTTTTCACATTTATAGTTCCTATTTGACATCTGCAGTCACTTCCTCCCATCAGCAGTGGTGGGCGTGGATTGGTTAGCAATGCTGAGCGCTTCCTGAAGCTGAAATCTAGGTAGACTGAGGCAGGGAGAGTGCCTCTGGGGCTCTGCCAGATGAGATGAGTGAAATCAGAGGAACCAGGGACTGCCTTTAAACCGCTGCCCGGTCGGTTCTCCCTAAACTACCATGAGCCGCCGTCTTCAGGTTAGGCATGCTCTGTATCAGGAGCACCATAAACCCACCTTCTCAGTGAAGCTGAGAGGCACAAAATTTCAGCAGTTTTTTTTCCTATTTTTCTATGTTTTATTCCTTATTATTTAAAAGGGACTGGTCAACCAAAATAAAACTTTAACTGTACCCCTTTCCTTCTTTCCTCCCAGCAAATAACATAAATGTATTTTGGAAATTTATCAGTTTTCAAGCCACACACACAAAACCCCTTTATTTTCACAATATTTCTTTCTGAATGGATGGAAATAGACAATCCCTTGCTTCAAGAATCTTGAAGGAAAAGCTCCTTTGTCCTTATATTACATCCTCAGCATGCCCCTCACCTGCTATTTTGATATTCAGATTGGCGTCCAGAAGCAAATTCTCAGCTTTTAGATCACGATGAACTATGTTCCGACAGTGACAAAAAAAGACAGCGGCGACGATCTGCTTGAACTTCCGACGGGCCTCCTTCTCCGCCATCCTGCCATGGGCCACCAGGTGGTCTGGGTGAAGAAGAATAGAGTCAGTTCTCATGTGGACACTGGGGTCATTTCAAAAGGCAGATGTAAGGAGGGTGCAAGGGGAGCCACCAAACGAATGAGCTGAAAGAAGTAAAATAAAAAAACAGAAAACAACCCACTTACAATCCTGGTCTGTATCTATAAAAAGTCATTAGTAATCAGTACCCAAACTATTTTAAGTAAAAATCCTGTTATATACATATGCCCAAGAATGTACTTGCTTTCCCTCAAAAAAAAAAAAAAAAAACAGTTCTAAGTCATATGGTATTTTTCAAGGATCATAGCACTTAACACCTTCCTTTTCTTATCTGCTTTGCAAAATTTACATATACACAGCAAACATATACTTGAAGATAAGTATCAGCAATATTTCCTGTGCTAAAGGGTGAGTCAAAAAGCAGAGTTCAATAAACTTTAGGCTCTACTGCTTTCTCAAAGTTTTACAATTTGACATAAAAATATATTTATTTGGTGACTATATTCTGTAATGCATAATATGCCTGCATCTTTACATCTGCATTTACTGTGCTTAGCAAGTATTTTTAAAATTATATTATCAATTTTTACAGATAACATCAATAAAAAAAGGTGCATTTTCTACCACTTTAAATGAAATAATTTCACTGGCTATGTTGCTAACTAAGGTATATAGCAAAAGAATTTATGTTATAAACTTTATAGTACAATAAATCTTCTATATTTAAAAATGAAATACCATAAATTTTTAAAGTTCTTTTTCTAGTAGTGGCAGTAGGTTTATATAGAAGCAATGACATACATATTCTTAACCCAGTTCTTCATGTAACCAGCAACATACACAGGTCATGACAGCTGATGGGATCAGAAATATTAGCAATGATACAATTTGCTCTGTTTTAAATTTCTAATAGTTTTATCAGCACTATCCCCAAACCAGCTGATCTAGCTGGAAAAAGGACACATTTGCCACCATAAGCATCTTCACATAGTGGAAAACTGAAAAATTAAACACTATAAATAAATGTGTTATTGTTTATCAGGAGTTATTTTAGTAATACTACCCAACTGTTACAGTGCTACTGCAGTCACCAATAGGACCAATCAGGTATATCTTTTCTTCATCACCAAGAGGAAGTTTGGTGTAAAACATATGTACCAATAATGACTGCTAAGACTAAGAGTTTAGGACAGGAAATTGGAGAGGAGCATGAAGAAGGGGAGCTAAATGACAATCCATCTACATAGCAGATTTTCAAATAATTTAAATTCTGACCACAAAGACCATAAAATTTTGGACCAAAAATATAGTAATTATAATAACACTATCTTACAGATAATTTAAATTATTAAGAAAAACCCTTCAAAGGAATTGTTATAATTTTTAGTGTTATGAATGACCCCCACAGAAGATCTTTGAAGCATGTCCCTCAAAAATAATCATTATTATGGCCAAGATTACCAATTGAGTAAAGAAAGAATATATGAAGTCTTCAGCTTAGCAGTTCAGAGGACTAGAATGCAAATGTCTATGGGAGTTAGAGGTGCTGATAACTGAGCTCACACTCTGGTGTTTAGGCTTCTGGTGAGACCTGTCATATGAATTTTAAACACAAAAGTTGTTTCCTAACTAGGGATAGTAACTCAATATAAACTGCTAAAGACCTGGACATCCATCAGATGTACAGCACTGTGTTTTATTTCAAAAAACTATTCTCTAACAGTACCTGCTCCATTGACCCCCTATTTCTCTTAACCCAAGGCCTAATTATTCTAATAATATGTTTTAGCTGCTAAACTTTGTCTAATTAAAGAGCTTTGAAGAGACAGCTATTCTTGAGAAACATAAAAATAAACCCTTATGAAGGTTTACCATCAGAAGCTCATTTGGCCAAGCCAACCATTAATTAAAATGCCCGAGAGACATTCGTCTGGCAGTAAATACTAATTACCAGACACATCAAAGAGCTTCTTAAATACAACAGAATGATTTAGTAATTTCCAAAATAAGTGATTTTCTTTTATTAAAAAGAACACCTCTTTATATTTTCTAAGTACTTTGTTTCCTTTCTTTCTTTCTTCTTTTTTTTTTAGTACTTTGTTTTTTTAAAATGATTGGAAAGCTCTCAAAATTGTACACAGGCCAGGAGCTAGTGGAATGTAGCCTAGTTTTATCTCTACAATGACACACTGGTTGTCCTTGGGCAAATCATTTATACTGCCAATATCTCTAACTCTTGATCTGTCAAATAGAAATAAATTCTGTTACATGCTATGGACAAAGAAAGGATAGTGTATTTGGGTATAAACATGTATTGTGATTTAGAGTTATCATATATGAATGACATAACTTTAAAGACATTTAAAAAGCTATTTTTATTTTTTAAATCTTTATCGTGAAAGTATTACATATGTCCCACTTTTTTCCCCGTTATCCCCTGCTGGCATGCCCCCGCCCCACCCAGACCTTCATCACACTATTGTCTGTGTCCATGGGTTATGGATATATGCAGACAAGTTCTTTGGTTGATCTCTTCCCACCCACCTACCCACCCCTACCTTCCTCTGATATTTGACAGTGTGTTTTATGCTATTTTGTAAAGGTCTGGGGCAAGACTATACAGAGAATATTTAAGAATTTGATTAAGAGATCACAAGGTTCTTCAGGATTCTGTAGTGTTTGAAGGTACATCATTTGTCACTGTTACATGACCCTGGTAAAGGTATTTATGATAGCACAGTGGGTAAAGCAGCTTAAACTATATAGTATTTTTCCTAAAGGTACCTACAGAATCCTACAGTTATAAATATAAAGAAAATATACAAATCACATTAAAAAGTGTTGGCTGCAAACATTAGATGTTTTCTCCTAGCCATTGTATTTATGCTCAAGTTGTCTCCTCCTCGGGAGCACTGTGCTTTCTTCCCAACACAGGGCCATCTTAACGGTGCAGCATCATTCAGATTTTAGCCTCTGCGTTTAGTTTTGCCCATCTTATTACCACCCCCCACCCCCATTTCTTGTCCCCTGAGTTGGCTTTCAGCAGAAACTACAGGTCTGTGGGCGTGCCAGGAAGCCAGTGGCCTGCGTGGTTTTCAGTCCCTGCAGAAACCGCCTCTCAGCTGCCTGTGGACAAATGGCTGCTTATGTTCATGTGTGCTGTATAGGCAGTGAGCAAAAATTCTTCCAGCTCAAACGGGCTATTTTACTCTCAGCAAAGAAACCCAGAGCAGCAGCCCAGACTGCACTTAGCACAGTCACAGCATTTGAATAAACACTAGGGTAATTTCAGAAAGGCAAATGAAACAACATGGCTCCTGAGCCACGCAATATTTAAAGTAAAGTACATTCTGAATCTTGTCAGGATAAACCCCAGCTGCAAGGAGCTCTAAAGAGTTGTTCTGCTTCTAGGCAGCTCAGTGAGCTGGCTCTCCTAACACTGGGCGAAGGGCCACCCACACCTTCAGTCCCAGACACCCCACATGACCCTGGCTGGCTCCTGTAGTTCCACACCGCCCCATCCCAGTCCAAAATCTTCAATTACATACACGCTGCTGAACAAACTCCCTCACAGTTAAGTTCTTTTCACTGTCAATTAACTACTTATCTATTTAGTTGCCACTAAACGTAGCAGGCGAATTTAAAGTTTTTCTCTATCACAACTTCACTCCAACCATTTCATCCCAGACCAGATGAGGTAACTCTCAGTTAAAAGCAGAAAAAGCTCTCCTATGTTAAGCTCTTATCAAAAGTAAGGAGTCTAAGTTCTCTTTCTCACTTTCCAATCGCCATAAACCACTGGGCACTAGATTTCTTCATTCATTTTTAATCTGCTCTTCCTCACAAAATAAAAAGAAGTTAGTGACACTAAGGGATTTCTCTATCTTCTGAGGAATATTATTCGAAGTGGAGGAAGCAAATTCTGAAGTTTCAAAAGTATTAGCACACCAGCACGTATAGAGTTTGCTTCAGAATTCACTGTTTGTTATTTTGTCCAATCTGACTCAGGAAGAAATAGCTTGTGGTACATTTAGATTCTAACCTTTCAAAGAGCAAAACTGCACACCAGGCAGTCCTGACTTCCCCGCCCAGCTTCTGGCGTGTCCGAGGCCCGCCACTAATGAGGTAGTGGTGGGGAGCCAGCACAGCTTTAAGTCACTTTTCCACTATAAACAGACAGTGTCTCCATTTGTCTGCTGTCTACAACTCATAACTGATCCAAATCACCAGCTTAAAATGAAAATACCCTGACAACTTTTCATGATGAAGAAATAACCTCGTCTTGAATAGAGAAAAGGCTACATGTGTGCTAAGCTTAGGGTAGCTACCTGAAAAATTTCTGTAAATTCCAGCTAACCACAGCTAGTACTTCTCTGCTTTGCCACTCTGTTCTGTCATTTCTTCTTTCTACACCCATGGAGACAAATTCCTGTTTATCACACAAATGCTTCTTTCCAAAAGGGCCAGGGCAAGGCCAAGAGAACTCAGCTGCCTGGAGCACGTTAAAGAGTGCTCTCACTTTCACATCATGCTGCCCCGAGCCCCTGCAGGCCCCAAGCTGCCACTGACTAGATCAGCGGTTCTCAACCTGTGGGTCGCAACCCCTTTGGGGGGTCGAACGACCCTTTCACTGGGGTCGCCTAAGACCATCGGAAAACACATATATAATTACATATTGTTTTTGTGATTAATCCCTATGCTTTATGTTCAATTTGTAACAATGAAAATACATCCTGCATATCAGATATTTACATTATGATTCATAACAGTAGCAAAATTACAGTTATGAAGTAGCAACGAAAATAATTTTATGGTTGGGGGTCACCACAACATGAAGAACTGTATTAAAGGGTCTCGGCATTAGGAAGGTTGAGAACCACTGGACTAGAGGAAGAGGGTTTATTATTTTGTGTTCCTTGCCAAGAATTCAATGACCTCACGCCAGGCTTCTACCTGCTGCTGCTTCTTATTACTATGTATTTTCTTCATTCTTCCAGTTGTCCAG